GTGTGTGTGTGTGTGTGTGTGTGTGTGTGTGTGTGTGTGTGTGTGTGTGCGCGCGCGTGTGTGCGCGTGCGTGCGCACCACCCAAACCACCGGCAGCACCTGGGTGAAGAAAATGGCACTGGCCCACAGCAGCCTCTGCCCACCCTTTGACCCATTTGGCCTCTGTGTCCACAGATGGTCCCATGAGTACCAGGAGGCCACCATCGAGAAGATCATCCGCTTCCTGCAGGGCCGCCCCTCTCAGGACTCCTCTGGCGGCTCGGACACCAGCTTGGAGGGAGCCGCGCCAATAGGCCTGCCTTAACCCGCCCCAGTTCCCACGCCCCGCCGTGACTCCTGCTTCCATTGACCCCCGACCCCTAAAGGAGTAGCTCCTCTGGAGCCGCCCTGGGCTGAGACAAACCAGGCTCTTCTCAGGGAAAGGCTTTCCCTGCTGCCTCCCTGTGGCCCACTTCTAACCCAGAGATGCCAGGCACGGGGTGAGATGAGAGGACACTCCTCTGTCAGGCCCTGCCATCCTGTTCCAACTCCCATCCAGAGCCATGTCCCTGCTTCGATCCGGACCCTCAAGATAGGGGAAGGACATTCTCCCATATCCTGCCCCAAGAGCAGCCAGCTCGAGAAGGGTGAGGTTGGCAGGCTCTGGCAGGAGTCAGGACAATGGGCCCGGGAGGCATCTGGGGTTGAGGATCCCCCAAAGGCTGTCCACTCACATTGTGCCTGGCCTCTGGCTCACCTGGCTTCCTGATGCCTCATGGCCTTGCTCTATGACTACTTGGTACCCCTGCCAGGCCTCTTTAGGCAGCCTCCTTTGCCATGCTGGGAGCCAGGGTGCATCTGAGCCGGCCCTCTGCCTGGCCCCGCTGCCCTTTCTGGTGCAAGAAGGGGCCCCTTGCTTGTGCAGGGAGACCCTAAGAACCCACCCTAGCCCAAACCTCTGTGCTGTGCCTAAGGCTCTTGCCGAGCCTGCTCCAGCTGGCTTCCCCAGCTCTTCACCCACACGGGGCTTTTCACCCTCTTGTTCAGTCAGAGAAGGAGACCAGAGACTCTCCAACAGCACCAGTAGCCTGAGCAGAACCCACACCACAGGAAAGAGGCAGGACCTTCCCTCCGTGGGCAAGGGCCAATTCCTGGGGCAGTTTCTCCCGCCAAAGTGTGTCCACATCCACTGGGAATCTTGTCAAAACTCAGAGCAGGCCATCTGGGAAGTGTCCGAGAGGCTGCAGTTTTCAGATTCCCAAGCGAGCTAAGGCAAGGCCCTCACGGGTCCCTGCCATGTTCCGAACACCCCTCCATCCCCCAACCCCCCGTCCCTAACCCTCGCAGCAGCCTTTTCCACTGTCACCCCAATTTTACAGAGGGCAGTGGTTGAATGATAGGTCCAGGTCCCCAAATCATTGGTGGCAGTCTCCAGATTCTGCCCTCGTCCTGGGACCCAGCACCACGGCTTCCAGACCTGTTCTCCCCAGACTCATCCTAGAGGCTGTGGCCCAAGCTGGGTAGCAGCCTCTCCCTGGCCCCAAAGAACTGAGCAGCACAGGGTGGGTCTTAGTCAAAAGGCTGGGCCAGGGGCATACAGAAATAACTGGGCAGGACTGTCCCGTACCCCTCCCCCCACTGCACAAAGAGGGCAGGACACCCAGGCTCCAGCTTGGAGTCAGCTGGCCCCACCCTGCGACTGCCTTCAGGAGGCCGTGGGGTCACACCTCTCCTGGAGGTGGCCGGGTTACTTGCTCTCAGTCCCCATTGTCAGAGAGCCAAAGGGCTTCCTCTCCAGGCTTAGGGACCCCTTCCTGCCAAAGACCCCCTCTTCCACGGGTCGTGGCTGCCCTCTGGCTGTGACTATCTGTAGTCCTGGTCCATCACCAATGCCAACCCCACATCCTATTCTGAGGTGAGGCAGATGGAATGGTGGCCTTGATGACCAGTTCAATGACAATACAGTGTATGAGTCCCCCTGGGGAAACATCGTCTTCAGTCCATACTCTCCAGAGGTCCCCATGGGCAGTACTCAGTACCGAAACAGAAGTTTCGGGTTTTTGTTTGGGACCTATGTCACCGCTGCCTCCAGTGTCTGGCCTTCTGCTGACCTGTCCCCTCCTGTCTTCCTGGGGGACCAGAGCACAGCCTTCTGTCCCAGACAGGGTAGCAGAAGCGCCAAGGCTCCTCCAGCTAGGCACTGTGCTCGGTGTGGCACATCTCGGATGGCAGGCAGAGCAGCAGCTGGGCCTCAACTTCTGCCAAGTCTGGCTGACCACACTGACCTCAAGACGGGCTCTTCAAGCTGCCCGAGCTGGCACGGTCTGTGTGTTCCGGGTTTTCTGCCTGGCTGGGCTATATAGCTGCTGTCCCCAAGCTGGGACTGAATCAGGGCGGTCGCTACCCTACCTACCCCTCTCCGGTGGGCAATGAGCTGCTCAGGGACATTAAGAGGGTAAAAACCCAGCCATAGTTGGTTCATCCCTTCACTAGGCATCTCATCCTGGGATGCATGAAGCTGGAGGGATCTCAGAGCATCTAGCAACTGAGCTTCCTAACGCATCCCATGGAGGTCCCGCCTCTTTCCCGTGGTGCAGGTCTGCTCAGGCTACTGGTACTGTTGGAACGGCCCTGGTCCCGGTAACCAGACAGTTTGGGAGGCGTGCTGACCCAGGTTTCACTAGGTTTATTCAAGGTCAAGGTGCCAGAGTGGAGCCTTTTCCTCCTCACAGCCTCACGGTGGTGGGGTCCGTGGAAGAACGTTTCTTGCTTGGTTTTCCATCTCCAGAGGGGGCGGTGAGGCAGGATGGACCCTGCTGCAGTTCAGTGGGCCTTCATTTTTCCCGGGGAGAATTGTCTTTTACCTGCATGGTTTCCAGCCAGGAAACTGCCTCGCAGGGTAGGTAGGTGGGTAAGTGCAGACGCAGGGTCTAGCTTCCAGGGACAGTTCCGGTGTGAAGAACCACAACCTCCCCCCCACCACCACCACACACACACACTTTGGGTCGGCTTGGTGGGGAGACTGCCAGTTGCCAAAAACAGCAGCTTCACAACGGGCCAGAGTCTGCCTTTCAGCTCTGGGTCCTGGTTTTCCAACCTCCATTCACTCACGGAAGCAGGAAGGATGGTCTCAGCGCACACACACACACACACACACACACACACACACACACACACACACACACACACACACGGCCCTGCTCGGCACTGAGCTGTGTGGGAGGGCCAAACGGCAGCCCAGAGAGATCCTGCTGGGGCTGGCGTAGCCATGAAACCAGCCAGGGAGCGACTCACCTGACCTGACTCAGGAAGAGCAGCCAGGGCTTGGGCCCCACGTGTCTCTGCTCTGATGACGCCTCACAAGCCCTTCACCCCTCAGCAGCTTAGAAAGATGGAGCCTGGAGGGACATGCCAGGACCAACCCCACAGGCAGCTCAGGAACTCCAGCCCAGCAGCTGCCGGGCTGTGCCAAACAGGCCAAGAGCAGAAAGACAGAAAGTCCCGAAGCCCCGTGACTCTTCAGTCTGGCTCAGACAATTTACTGTGACAGTACTTCATGGCTGAGGTCAAGGGTGTTGGGGTCAAGGGCTGATTTCCAAACACAGGCGAGGCTTCTCCCTCTGGGGCAATACTCTCCCAGGTACCATACTTCTCATTAGGGCTGAATGGAGGCCACTGCACACATCAGGGACCTATAACCATGGGCTGGAAGCAGAGGTTGGTTCTCATGCTTCACATGGTCCCTAAAGTGCCGTCTCCTTCACTCTGGAGGCTGCTGAATGCTGAATGGTATAAAGGGTGAAGAAACCCCTGGCTCAAATGGCTCCCTGTAGCCTGCCCCGAGTGGGCCTGTCCTGACCCTACGCAGGGTCTGGCTCAGTGGGGGGCCAGGTGGTGCCCAAGACCGACTTGAGCACCCTGTCCAAAGTGAGTACTGCCCTCAGAGGGCTGGCTGGTGCGGGTCCACTGTTCCTCGTGGCCTCTGGCAGATCAGGAACTGTGAGGAAACTGCTGGAAATCAGGACGTGGATTAACCTTCTCCAGCACCCTGTGAGAGACCAGAGAGATGATTCAGAATTGGCATGGGGAGCCCCCAAGCCCAGTCTGGAGAGGTGACGTGGGACTGACATGGGTGGGCAGTTCCAGGTGCCTCCCTCCCCAAGCCAACAGGCATAGGACAATGTCCACAGGCAGAGGGCTCTGGAGAAGAACTCTCTAAGACCTCAGTGGGTCCAGCCTAGCCTGGGGCTCAGCCACAAGCAGCCAAGTAAGTTCTCTGCCCGTTAGCACAGTTTGGCCACTGTCGTCCTATCTGCAACGTGAGGATGGGGCAGGCTGAGGGGGCCTGATAGAGAGGCCTGGTCAAGCAGCAGTGTTAGCCTGACCCCTCGCCACATGTCCCTCTACTGCTCTGGAGATGGCTCCTAAGAGACCAGGCAGCCACCTGCCTGGGGTAGGGTTAGCCCTGGATGGCGTATCTAAAGGCCAAGGGTTCCAGGAGCAAAGCTGCCATTTTGAGTTCGGAGCAGGAGCAAGAGGAAACCTCTAGGAAAGTAAGACACCGTGATGAGCAGGCAAGGCCAGGGCCCTCGATTACCCGATCAGAATGGCCGGGATGAAGAGGAGGCCAGCTCCCAGGAGGAAGGGGAAGCCCTTCATGAAGTTCAGAGTGGCTGGGTAGAGCAAGTTGAAGATGCCGGAGGCCGTCAGCATGGCCAAGCTATTCACACAGGCCACAGCAGAAAAGAGAGCACCTGGGAGGGATCAAGACCACACTTCAGAGTTGGAAAAACCCAGGGTCAAACGAGGGCAGTACCCCCACTCCCCCCACAGCTGGATGACCTGGGGCGAGACAACTGGCCACCTTTTCCTGTGCCTCCTACTCTGTGCTGTGGTAAAGACTCAATGAAGTTATACATGGGAAGCGCCAGGCAGACGGGCTATTAGATACACAGCTGGTGATTGTTATTAAATTCACAGAAAAGCCTGCGAGGTACCTTTTACGTAAAACATTATCGTGCATGCGTGTTTGGCCTGCATGTATGACTCTGCACCACGTGCATGCCTGGTGCCCTTGGGAACTAGAAGAGGGTGTCAGACTCTCTGGAAATGGAGTTACAGATGGCTGTGAGTCATCACGTGGGTGCTGGCAACGGAACCCTGGTCCTCTGGAAGAGCAGCCAGTGCTATTAAACGCTGAGCCATCTCTCCAGCTCCAGCTTGGTTTGTTTTAAGAAATAGTCTCACTATGCGGCTTAGGTTGCCCTTAAACTTGCAATCTTCCTGCCTCAGCCTCAAGTGCTAGGATTTTGAGGATGTACCACCATGATGACTTCTTTTAAGAATGTATTTTTTATCATATTCATCCATGTGTGTGTGTCACTTGAGCCAAGCATTGGGGGGGGGGGTGTCAGAGGACATCTTTCAGGGGCAGGTTCTCTGCTCCCATGTGGGCTCTAGATGGAGAACTCTGGTCATCAGGCTTGGTGACAAGTGCTTTTGCCTGCATAGCCTTGCCAGTTCTACACATGATGAAGTCTAATGGACGCCTGATGGGCTTCCCCCCTCTTTGGAAGCATCATTTGATCCCAAGTTCCAACACTCCCAGCTGTGTGCTCACTGAGGAGCTTATCTTTCTGGGTCTCTGGGTCACTGCTCCTCCTCCGGTGAACGGAGGACACGAGCTATTGCAGGGACTGCCAGTCATTTTAAAAATGAAGGGTACCGGCCGGGCGGTGGTGGCGCACGCCTTTAATCCCAGCACTCGGGAGGCAGAGCCAGGTGGATCTCTGTGAGTTCGAGGCCAGCCTGGGCAACCAAAAAAAAAAAAAAAAAAAAAATGAAGGGTACCTATCACTGGGGGCCTCCTGGGGCGGGGGGCAGGGCTGCTATTTTCCCACAGTGGGTACAGTGAAATGTGCTGGGTAAAAAAAGTCCGCTGTCTGCATACATGGTGAAACACAACTGTCGTTCCAGCTCTCAGGAAGCTGAGGCAGGAGGATTTTGAGCTCAAGGACAGTTTGGGCTACTTACCAAGACCCTGTTTCAAAATAAAAACAAAAGTATACTGGATGAATGAGGAGGCATTTTAGCACCCGAGCCTGAACCCAGCTCTGTCATCCAGCTGCTGCACATTGAGCGATGACCTCATAGAAACAGAGGATCAACTGTCAGACTATGAGGACCTGCCAGCGTCCAGGGGAACAAAGGTCTCATGTCACAGATGAAGAAACAGGTCGCGAACAAGCCAGGGCTAGAAAGCCCAGCTACAAGATCAAGTGCTCTTAAAAAAAAAACACAGAACAGGAGGTGTGTGCATGCGTGGGGTGGAGCTGGATCTGGAGAGATAGCACCAGGACCAGAGTTCGGATGCCCTGCACCCACATAAAAGCCAGGTGGGTGTGGTGGGCACCTGTAATCCTAGTGCTTGGGAGGTGGAGACAGGAAACCCACCAGGCCAAGTGGTTAGCTAGACTGCCCACGTCAGAGACTCCATGTTCCTTAAGACACTGACGTCACAAGTCTGTGAGTACATATACATACACATGCATGCATCCCCATCCCATTATTTACTGAGCAACCTTGAAGAACTCAACGTAACTCTCTAGGCCTCTGCTTCATCTGACAGCTGGGAACAACAAAACCTATGGCACAGATCACTTATTCCCTCTGGGCCTGGATACTCTGACCCCAGCAAAACAGGAAACCCTGGTATCATCACACCCACTTCACAGATGGGAAAAATAAGGTCCAAAGAGATAAACTTGATCAAGCTCTACTGATAGCAATCTTAGCTCTGTGGTACAAAAATCCACAGCATCTGTCTCGAGCCAGCTCTGAGCACGTGGTGGAAGCGCATCTGTCTTGGCTACTTCCTCCTCCAGGGTAGAAGACAGGCCATCCTTGACCAGAACAGCCCATCCAGGCAACACTGGACATGAGGGACCAGGTACAGACTGACCCTGACACACTCACCGTGCTCCGACTCGCTCACCAGCTTGGAGAGCTTGGCCCGGATGACAGGTGTAGTGACCAATGACAAGAAAAGCAACCCGTACCCTGCAGGGAGAAACACTGGTCAGGAAAGAGTGATAGAGGCCGGGGGGGGGGGGCAGCCCAGGAGGGACAGATGTTGGACCCAAGAGGAAAGACAGCAGCTTTCTGCAGGCTTGCCCATCTGTTCACATCTGTTCACTCTTTCTAAATGAGAGCTTGGCCCTGCCAACTGCTTTACCAAACACCTCTGGTGGCCACTTGGTACTAGAAGGGAGACAGCAGGACTCAGAAAATGAGCATGGGCTTTGGAGCTGGCCCTGAGTTCAAACCCTGTTACCATCACTTACTCTGTGTGTGACCTTGTCTAACAGACTTCCCTGAACCATCTCCTAGCCTGTAAGAGGAAGACCACAGGCCTCTAGCGGAGGATGGTTCTACAGTGTGAGAGGTTGACTAACAGCCTCGAAGGCAGGCCCTAAACCTGTGAACTGTCTTCTATGGGAAATGAGTCTCTACAGGTTTAATCAGGAAGGACCTTAAGGGAAGCTCTCCTTTTCATTAAGCTGATAGGGATGTGGCCAGTCTCCAGCAGATGGGATACAGCTTCTCCCCCTGGTGTCCGAGCGAGCACTGCCCTGGGACATTCTGATTTCAGCCCAGTGACTCTGATCCTGGACTTCTGGCCTCTAGTACTCTGTTGTTTAACCCTGCGTGACAATTTGCTTCAGCCACTTTGGGATAAGGAGTGACATCTGCGAAGGGCACTTGTTGATGACATAGCACGTGAGTTCCTTTGCTCCTGGCATCCGGCGACCTACAGGCGTACAACGTTTGCAATTCTGCCGAGCCTCTGTGGCACATCTTTATCTCAGCACTTTCGAGGGCCGTGGCCTTGAGTGGACGGGACCCGGTCCCTTCACGGTTAGCCCAGCAGCGGAGTTCACACAGCTGCGCTATCAAACAGCTGACTCTCCACAGCAGTTCCAGGCGCTCGCAGAATACATTCACACACACACCCCCACCCCCACCCCCCGCCCATTTTTTTTTTTTTTTAAGAAAACTTCTGGGGCTGGAGAGAGGGCTCAGCGGTTAAGAGCACTGACTGCTTTTCCAGAGGACCTGGGTTCAATTCTCATCACCCACATGGCAGCTCACAACTGTCTGTAACTCCAGTTCTAGGACATCTGGCATCCTCACACAGATATGCAGGGAAAACACCAATGCACATAAAAATAAAGTTTTCTAAAAAAAAAGGAAGTTAACTTCATTCCTTAGCCAGCTGCCCCTCTTCTCAGGAGAGGGAGGGGAGCAGGAGCAAGGGGAAGGAAGGAAGAGGAAGTGAGTTGACAGGAATTTTAGAGATTTTGGCTTTTTAACAAACAAGAGAAAAAAAAGAAGGCAGAGTAAGGTTGCTAATGCCTGTGATCTCAGGATCTGGGAGGTAGAGGCAGGAGGATCACTAGAGGCAGGAGGATCACAATTTCAACATCATCTTCGGCTACACAAAAAAATCACCTGGCCAAGTCTGAGCCTGTTTCTAAACAAATGAGATTCTTAAGGGAGGCCCAGTGATTCTTATCCAAGAGCCAAGGAGCAAGACATTAGTAGCATGGACTTTGCTTAAGAACACTATAAATAAGCTATGGGAGGCCAAGGGCTAAAGCAATTAGCTTATGGGCTATGCTTTCGTCTTTTGCTCTACATTCCTGACAATATTTATGGTTGATAACGTGCATTAATTACTTTGGCCACTGATGCTCTATATTTTCTGTTTATCAGAGATGTTATTTTTCTGGGGTTTCTCTGCACAGGCTGAGAGTGTAACTCTGGGTCCAAAGACAAAGGCTTGAACCACATTTGAGGACAATGAGTTGGATGACCCCATTTTCAGTTTACCTGTGAACATGAGGGGTGTGGTGGTAGCAAATGCAAAGACCACCATGCCCAGGATGTTGAAGGACAGGCCAATCTCAGCCACCCAGGTGTCCGCCAGGCAGTACTGCAGAAGTTTTAGGCCGACCAGGCTGGTGAGGTAGGGTAGCTGCTGGGCCGCAGAGCCATAGCCAACCAGCTTGGAGTCCCAGCAGAGGGGCGTGCTCAGCTCATAGAGCGTCAGGATGTCTTGAGCCCCAAAGTGCACAGTGACCACAACGAAGATGGCCAGTGAGTACAGGGCTAGATGCTTCCTGGACTTCTCTGGGGATGGGACCACATACAGCCGGGCAATGGATCGGTGATGGTGGAGCGTGAAAAGCCTGGTGGACTTTGGCTCCTTCACCGTCTCACCAAAACAGAATGCTGCATACAGCGTCAGGACGATCAGCAGGGCCAGAGCCAGCCAGAAGGGGTTGGCATAACCCTGGGCCCGGAGCCAATGACCCCCGAGAAGGCTTGCCAGGGTCCCAGCCACACCAATGCATGCTTCCAGCAGAGCCATGCGGAAGGTGCGACTGTGGGTAGAGCTGACATCCGCCACAGAGGCAAAGCTAGCAGCCAGGAGGCCATTGAAGTCTCCCAGAAGGGCACAAAGGACTCGGCCAAGCACGAAGAAGCCGACGTGCAGCTCTAGCTGCACCACGAAGATGGACACCACGACCTGGAGCAGCAGGCCAAGAGAGGACAGCACCAGCAGTGGGCGGCGACCCACGCGGTCACTCCAGGCTCCCAGAAGGGTGGACCAGAAAAGTCCTACCAGGAAGCCGCCCACGTTCATGTAGAGGGTCCAGTGGGAAGTCAGGGTCTCCACTTCCTGTAAAGACAGAATCGCCAGGGCGAAGGCCCTCACTTTGGTTAGCCACCATCATCCTGGGAGCTACAGGGTGCCTTGCATTGGAGCCCTGAGCCTCTTGGAATGTTACTCGAACTTGTAAAAACAGGTCCTGGATAAGCATTCCTTCCCTCCCCGCACTTAGATTAACCCTCCAGGCCAGCCATTCTCTAGGTCCGCACCCCAAGGCAGTCAGCCCGGGGAGGCCCCCTTGGCTCTAGCTCCGCCCAGCACGCCACGTGCGTCCCCTCTCACGGACCCCATCTTCCACAGGCCCCGCCCCGTGCCGTGCTCCGCGTTCACAGCTACTCTGGTCCCCGCTACCTTCATGATGGGATCCGCGCTTTGGTTCCCGCAGTTCCCCCGGTGGCGGGTGCCATTGTAGCCCAGCTCGGTGCTGAACCGGTGCCACAGGTACTGCGTGGTGAGCGGGCCTTGCAGGACCAGGGCAAAGTTGGCCAGGAAGACGACAGGCTCCACGGGGCCACGGCACAGCACGGCCGCGGCGGGGATGCTGCGGGACGAGCCCACGGGGCTCACGCGCCCCTCCATGCGCGAACGCGGAGGGGTTGGCACGTCGGATCCAGCTGCGGGAGGCCCGG